TCTCTCTCTCTCTCTCTCTCTCTCTGTCTCGCCGCCGGCTGCGTTCAAACAGCCGCGTATGTATGACGGCGCCGCGGGGCGAGTAGAGATAGAGAAGGAACGGGCCTGACATGTGGGGTAGCGGCACGAGAAGGAGAGAGAGACAGTGAGAGAGAGAGAGAGAGAGAGAGAGAGAGAGAGAGAGGGAGAGAGCGGAATACACACCGCCGCCCATCCGTCTTCACCCTCTCCCCCGTGCATCCGGGCCCGGCTGCAGCAGGCCGCCCATATCGGCAGAGAGCTGAGAGCTATCGGTCTGCGCGGGCCCGAGGGTTGCAGCTCGGCGGTACAGCTCAGTAGTAGTAGTAGCAGCAGCAGCAGTTGCAGCGGGCCTCAATGGATTCCGATTCTATCTCCAAAAGCACGAGAAGCTGCAGCGCGCTGGGTAGTCAGTCTACCCGCGGCCCCACGGATGCTGTTTGCTTTAACTCTCGACTGTGTACTACACAACCCTTTTCACGTTGTCCCATTCACAGACACACATTGTGCAATGATTCAAACGCATATATTCAAACCGTCTTCGTGGTTTGTTTTCTTAAAATTTTACCCTGTGAGTGAGCGAGTTATTGACAATCTTTTCACTTTACCTGACAAACATTAAAACCCTCTCAAAAGTGGCAAATCATGGAAGTTGCTCTCGAGAATAATTTGCGCTCTTCCATTTGCCTCCTTATCCTTCTCCTGTCACTGATGAACCCAATAATGTTAATAATTTATAATAATATTTCTCACTAGAACGGCGCCGGGGGCGGGGCCCCTCACATTTGACTTAGGCCCTTGGAGAATGCGCGCTGCGGGGGAAATGCCCCGGCGAAAGTGTGGTATTCGCTCCCCGTTCCCCTTCCCTCTCAGCCGTTCCCCATTTCGCTTTCGGCCGCCGTAGGGTTGGCACCGGCCGGGCCGGGCGAATGAGTGCGAATGCCACATCGGGCATTCAAAGGCAGGCTCGGGAATGTTTAACGCGGGGAGTTTGCTTAGACAGAGAGAGAGAGAGAGAGAGAGAGAG